CCGTAGGTGCGGCGGGAGGGTGGGAGGGGCCGGGTGTCGCGGTTCATGTAGGCTGTCGTTGCCACGTCCGTCTCGCGGGGGACTTGGACGCGGCGGAGGAGGGCCGTTGCGGTCGTCATCTTGGCTGTTTTGGCGCCGGTGGGGGTTTGGCCGGAGAAGGGCACCGTGGGACACCGTCGATGATCACAACAGATTCTTGTTGCTAGTTCCCTGTCTAGTTCCAACTTCTCACTGCTGGGATGTACCGCTGAGGAAGCGGGTTGTTGTGAGGTGTTGGTGGTATTCACTTGAGGAATGCGTGATGTACGCCGCGACGCCGGCTCTGCGAACTACTGCGGTGTGTATGCCCGCCCGTTTGGCAAGAGGACGGGGACCAAGAGGCGGGTGAATGTGGAGGGCGGGAAGATGGGGGAAGGGGCCCGCTCAGGAAGAAACGGGATGGGATGGGGGCCAGTACAGTAGGTAGGGTTCCTGAGTGAGAACGGCCTCTTTCAATGAAGATATGAGACGGACCTTACTTAGGAGTGAGGCGGTGCGGGAGAGATCTAGAAAGGGGAGACGGGGAGGGCGCTAGGCCAGACCGTAAGCGGACCGGACGATTTTGAGGCGGGCCTTTTTCTTTTTGTTTGGTTCGATTTTTTAGCGTCTAGCTTGTCAAAGTTTCGTACGGAAAGCTTAGTTACGTCGCACAGATCGTGGGGTGTTCAGTTACGTGCAATGCGTAACGGGCAAAAGGTTAAAAAGTTGGAGGCTATGAGGGGGACTTGGAATGAAAGGAGGAGGCAGGGCAATGTGTAGAGACACAGTGTGGTCGGGACTTGGGTTGTCCTTCACGGCTGATATATGTGTCTCTCGAGGGTTTCCATTTCATGTTCAATGCCTACGTACGGAACTTGATAGTACCGGGAGTCTGGGTCTGGAGGAGCTGGATGCTGGACGCGGAACCTGTCCCGGGCAAAGGGTTGAGCAAGCGGGCGAGACAGAAATCCCAGAGGCGTGGTTAGCGACTTGCCCAACGGGCCACCGACAGGCTGACAGGAGAGGAAAAAGAAAAGAGCAAGAGGGAAGTGGTCTTACCTTACTGTGTATGGATTGCCATACATGATGGAGGGTGCGCCTGCGAAGCCCTGGCTGACCAAGTGCAGGGTCAGCTTTCACCGATGATACCACTTCAGGGGGTTTCAACCATCCCAGCGCAATATTCCAGATGGGCGGCCGGGTTTGCTCCAGTCGTTTGAAACAAGATATCAGCACCTCGGTCTACGAATAGCGGGACTTGAAAGGTGACGGAGGCTATGGGAACATCCATGGCGAAAAGGGAGGATATGGTTGGGGGTTGGGGACCTTGGGAGGGGGGAAAAGGACTCTAGAGGCAAGGTTTGTAGAAGCTAGAGGGACGCCATGTAATACTTCGTAAGCTGAACTTCCAGGTTTACGACAAATATCGCGTTTGATATCATGCAGTTGGAAGAGAACCTAGACTCAAACTACATGACCCCCTCCCGCCGTCCCTTTCGGACTCTTCCCCTCGTGGGATGCGCGGTCAATTTCACGATCCACGACGTGCCCGCCCCTCCACTGCCATGCAGAACCTGCAGCGGTGACGATGATCCCTGGCCCCAAAAGTGTGGGAATGTGGATAGAGCCCAGGGCAGAAGGGGGCGCGGACCAGGCTCTCGGTAGGGAGGGGAAAAGAGAATTGGTGTAAGGGTCTTTTCGGGTTCTAGTTCACGCCGGGGGTGTTTTTCTCTTTTCTTTCCTCCTGCTTACGTTGTGGGTACGAAAGCAGGATTATTACGTGTTGGATCTGGATGGGCTAGGCGGAATGGGATTTTGTTTGCTCTTCAATTTCGCTTGGCGTGTTGGAGCAGAGCGGACCGACGCAGGCCTATCATATGAGACATTCAAGACAGGGTCATCAACCTGATTCCCTCTCAGATTTCGACCATGTAAGTCTACGGAGAAGTAGGCAGCATTGCGTGTTCCTACACCGTTGCGGCGTTGCCTCAAGCACATCGCCAGATATCGTTTCCGTACAGATACCAATCAGACTTCCTCTCCCTCATGGTATGTATCCCGTACATCGCAGTAAACTGGAAAGTCGAGGGAACCGTCACATTCTGGCACTCTGGCATTCTACAGCTCAACAGCTCAACAGCCACTGTCTCGCTGTCTCGGCCGCAAAATTTATGTGGCTCGGGAAATGGTAACGAATCGCGATTGGCTCGAGCAACACCATCGCCCGTTCCATCACCTTTAGACCCCTCATTTGAGACATGACTTTTGACGGCTTCAGTCAAGAATCGAGATCACGATTGCGCTTATCTCCACAGTATGTTTCGTCGTTCTCTGCGGAGCCTTTTTCTGCATGGGAAACTGGACCGGTCATGGGGCCACACGCGCGGGCACTGCCGCTTCTTCGTCACACATATCGATCGTCAACCGCGGCCTTGAACCCCCGGCCCCGCCGTCCATTCTCCAAAAGAGAGGAATTAACCCAGTTTAGGGTTGCGTCTGGCGTCTGTACGGGCGGTCACTCTCCCCTTCTCTTTGGCCCGTCGAACGCCTCGAGGACCCCGAGACCCAGCAAGCCCACGTGTGTTTCCCGCGGCGGGGCTCCTCTCAAGACGGGCAAAAAGAGTGACAAAAAGGCAAAATGAGCGGGCTCTGAGATGGAGAATCTGCCGCTGTTTCTTCTGATTCTACAGCTTTAACCGCCTCCGAGACCGCGGAACCCCCAATTCCCCACGAGGTTATCTCGAGGTCGGTCCGTCGGAAGAGGGGTTCGTTCTGCTAGAGAGAAAGGGAAAATGCGCAACCAAGAGTTGTTACTTAACTCGAGGAGCTTGGACATTTTTTATCACTATCTGCTGTGAAAGTGGCGTTCGTCCATGCCGCATACATCATTCATTTCATCCTGCATACTTTAATACCCGCGCTTCATTGCCTCCTGTCGGGCGCGCAACTCGGATCGGACGAAAATTCTCAAAGGCATATTACGCGCGATATTATCAGAAACCACAGACGCTTCCTGCTTGTACTAAAAGTCCACTGTCCACATCTGCATCCCCTGCGTAATCTTTATGTTTGTTCTAGAGCGAGAAGGGTGTTACAAGAATACCATTGTCCAACACCCCCCGTCTTGCAAACCCCAGTTTGCGCGTCTGCGCGGTGCGCCGAAAACCAACGAGCCAACCATGACCGTGGCCGCAGCGGCGGCGGAGTCGGAGGCGGCGCTACCAGTTGTTGACTTGCGGTCCTTCGACTCGGTCGAGGACCTTGCGGCCGACCTCATGCGCGTCGGCAAGGATCCCGGTTTCTTTTACGTTGTTGGCCACGAGCTGCGCGACGACGTCGCAGCCGACATGTTTGCTCTTGCCAAGAGCTTCTTCAGCTCACCCCTTGAAGAGAAGTTGGTGTACGCCAACGGCAGCGGCGACCTGGTGAGTTTTCCTGTTTTGTATTCTGCACCTCGCCTGAATAGTCCTGTCTCTTGCCCGTCTCTCTTTCTCTCTCTTTCAGCAACCGGGAACGAGAGGGCGTAGAAACAGGATGGATTTATGTACATGTTGTTGGACGAATATGATCGGCGATTAATCTTTTGCGGTGCTGACTGCGTGGTTTGATCTCGCTTAGGGTTACACCGGTATGAGAGAAGAAACGTATGTTGTGCTCAGCCCCATCTACCATGCTTATGGTGTTTCCCCTTTCGTAAAGAAACAGTGAGATCACGCTTAGATGTTGATGTTTGTGGGGTGGAACAGGCTTTCGGGAGCAGGGCCAGGCGACGTTAAAGAGTCCTTTTACCTATCAGACCCCGGTAAAACGACGCAGCTGCTTCCAACCGAGTTGGAGTCCCGCCGAGAGACAATGTCGGCCTTCTTTGCGGGTTGCGACAACCTCGCAAAGACTCTTTTGGAAGGACTTGCAGTTGGATTAGGTGTGAGTGCTGCCATCTAAGTGTTTTATATGACATCCTACTGCGAAGGAGCCATCAAAATGAGGGGCTGGGTATAACTAAACTCTTCACTTCAGATGCCAAGAGATTTTCTATCAAAGGCTCATACTGGCGAATGTTGTCGTATGCGTCTCATAAACTATCCCCCGGTATCCGAGGTCTCATCATCCACCACCACCTCCTCGCCTCAAGACGACGCCCCAACCTCTAACTCGGAAGATATCCGAGCGGGCGCCCACTCCGATTACGGCTCACTTACCCTGCTTTTCCGCCAGCCCTCGGACCAGGGCGGCCTTCAGGTCCTGCGAGGAGGAGGAGGAGGAAACAAGCCCTCCGCGTGGGCTGACGTCCCCTGCATCCCCAATGCCATTGTCGTCAACATAGGCGACGCCCTGGAGTTCTGGACCGCAGGGAGGCTGCGGTCTACGGTGCACAGGGTCGCCTTTCCCAGGTCCGCGAGCGAGAATGTCGCGAGGTTAAGTATACCCGTGTTCATACAGCCTGATCGCCACGTCGTGTTGGCACCCATCAAGGAGGACCGAGGGGATAGCGGTGGCGGCGGTGCAGGTGCCGAGTTTTTGGAGGTTTTGAGAAGAAAGGGGTACGAAAGTGCCGAGCCTGTTACCAGTCGGGAGCATTTGGAGCGACGGATACGAGCGACGTACGGCAAGGCTTAATGCGCATTTTTCTCTCGGAATCATCAGCGATGTTGGTAAGCACGGCATGACAGCGAGCATTTCTCTTTCGACACATCATAATATTCCAAGTTTGAACCTCACGCTCGCAGTTGAGTCTGCAAATATCTGCACACAGGTAGCACTGGTAGGTGTAGGTACCTACGCCAAGGAACATATACGAGAACAATAGTACACTCTACATACTACATCCCATTAATCATGCACCCATGCAACCAACAGTGGCATGCCCTGTGCAGTGTTGAGACCCTGACAAGTTGACAACCAACCTCCCCGGACCGGGAAATCTCTGCAAGCTGCATATAAAGACGGGAGATGAGACAACTTTGCCGAACCCACCCCCACGCTTACGCTTTCCTCGGCGAGAATACCACATTGAGCGGAGCAACGGTCAGCGTACCCGTGTCCTTGTTGCCCTCCAGGAACATCTCCCCTGTCTGCCCCTGTGCATATCGCAAGTTGTACTTATGCACGATGGCGCTGGTCACAAATCGCGTCTCTAGGAGGCCGAGCTGTTTCCCAATGCATACGTCGTGTCCTTGAGAGTGAAGTTAGCAAGGTCGCCGTTTAGCTCACTCGATGGGAAAGAGGCAGTCAGAAACTCACCTGTCGAGAATGGCACGTAGACTGAGGCGTTCTTGATGAACTCTGGCTGGTCGATCCATCGTTCTGGGATGAAGTCGTCTGGTCTTTCAAAGAACCTGGCGTCTATCATTTGGCAAGTTTATCAGTAACCCATCCACGTCCGTGCTCCGAGACAAATCAAATTGCAACTTTTGCTGCTCAACTTTTGAGAGTGACTCACCTCTGTATTGTGTATACGAGGGCACAAAGACAATGGTGTCTCCAGGAAGCCAGACGTCGTCTACTTGAAGACCCTCTGGCGGCGTCATTCGCTGGACACCCGATGGCACAGGTGGATGCAGACGTAATGATTCATCGATGCAGGCTTGAAGATATCGTAGCTTTGAAAGGGCGGCATGTCCAGGCTTGTCATGTCCTCTGAAGTACTCATCGACTTCGTCTTGCAGCTTCCGGTACTCTTTCGGATGCCGAGCCAGCTCCATGAACAGGCATGACAGGACAGCTGCCACAGTGTCGCTAAATACCATCAAGGCGAGTCAATAATCCGTGGCCCGAGAAAATGGGATCACTGCGAGAGCATTACCTTCCAGCAACTGTAATTAAGATACAGTCTCCGTACAAATTAAGCATATCTTGGGCGGAGCGTTCCTTCTTAGCTTCGTAATCCTCCAACACCCACGTAAATATATCGGGGCTCTCGGGCTTATTCTGGATCCGCTGTTGCACCTGGCCAGAGATCCACGTCTTGAACTTCTTGACGCCGGTATTCCAAATGGCCATCTTGCGATACAGCGGCAGAGCCCACATGGCGTGCGTAAAGCGCCCGACGGCCTTGGTCTCATCGTGCAGCGAGTTCATGTAAAAGTGCGCGACGCCATCTTCAAGCATGCGGAACCCATGGCCCAAGGAGAACTCGCCCATGACATCAAAGCTGTAAAAGTTGAACCACAGGGATACGTTGAACTTGGAGCCTGCGCTGGCTTCGATGCCGGCGAGGAGTCGGTCGGTGTATTTGAGGACGCGGGGCTCGTAATCGCGAAGTGCTGCGTGGTGCCGTTCATCAGTCTCTGCTAGCATTGATATCGGTCACTTCTGTCAACGTCTCCATAATGACTTACATTTCGAGGTGAAGCCATGTTCCCACGCTTTTCGTCGTCTAGAATGCGCCTCTTTATCGCGAACCATTTGCATTGAGACCATGGGATGAAGCAGATTATACCATGGTCCTTTCATACAATCCGTGTCCAGGAAGACGGCGTCGATGGCGCCGGGCTTGTTGATCGAGAGTTCGGTCGGGCCAATCCTCACCACATCGCCGTACTTCTGGTGTAGCTTTCGCACGTCCTCATGGAGGTGCATCCGGTTCCAGATCTTGAACGTGACGTAGAGATTTGTGAACTTGGCAAGAAAGGGGCCGGGAAATTCACGCAGGCGGTGGAATAGGCCTCGGTATACTAACATGCTCGTGTAGATGCCTGCCGTAAGTGAAGACAAGAGTATAGCACTAACTTTGGAGACTTGGGCCAAGCTGGTCGCTTCCAATGAGGTTCTAGAAACCATGGGGATCAAGGACGGCAACGCCATGGTGACCCCGACGGTTGCTGCATAGGCGAGTGTGAAGTTCGTGATGATGCGTTGTGCCGAGAGATCCCATTCACCGGACCGGAAGACGGAGACATGGAGGATGATTCCGACGAGAAAGGAGAGCCCGCAGGCTTCTAGAGACTGAAGAACATCGATTGCGTGCATTGTGCAAGAACTTCGATTAGTCTGCTATGTATGTTGATCTTGGCCAGAGGTACCTGCTGGAGGCTCCGAGATACGTTCAAGTTGTGAGTTGACCGCGGCTTACCTTGGTTCATAAAACATTGCGAGATTCGCCTGAAGTTGATAGCATCAGTAACCTTAACCTAGCAGGTGCCGTGCTTCCCGCCGTACTTCCCCATCCTCGAGTAAACTCAAAACCTGCCGGCATATGACTAGTTCGACTAAAGCCGCGGGATTCGAAAAAAAAAAAAAAAAAAAAAAACCCATCTCATATAGTAGCATCAACCTGTCACATAGAAGTCTCAACTGAGGCTCGTAGTTAGGGTGCTCTGTTTCGTCTGGAGTACCCAGTCCGAATACGGCTCCCGTTCTTTGTGCGTCATACGTAACGGAAATCCGCATGCCGACCTGCTAATCGGGGGGTCGGAGCTCCGGGGCAACTGCGGCTGTTAAACTTAGATGAGAGTTTCAACACCATGGTAATTATAGTGCAAGTGAACATCATCTCCGCCAGATAATCGTATTTAGGCGAGAACAAAGGATTTAGAGGATTCCAGCCTTGAGACGCTCGTAGGCTGCCAAACACTCGTCCTGAAATACGATCTTAGAGTCAAAACTTGAATAACCTGACGCCTCAATACACTTCTATCATGAATGGCAAAATGTAAAGGTCCATCCAGGATTCGAACCTGGGCTTACGGAAGGAACTGATTTTCAATTGTGAATCAGAATCCGACGTCCTAACCAACTAGACTAATAGACCAATCAAACTGGAATTGCTTCCTTGAGGCTGCTGCGGCGACGAGACGATGATGTGGGCTCGAGGTGGGTGGTTGAAGCCCTCGTGTGGATACTAGACGTAAACGTTGGTTGCCCACGACCCGCAACTGACATCTTGGCTTCTGAGATGTGGGTTCAAGCTACGAAAGTCATCCGGAAATCTAGGATGATTGAAAAGGGAGATGTTGGGAGATTGAAGATGAATTTTGTCTTGAAAAATGTGCCGAGGCTTTACAGAACTAATACAAATACAGAGTGGAGTCTCTACATGTATGTTTTCTTGGATGGCTCTTGTCAAGGCCAGAGTTTGGCCCGTCCTCCATCAATGATGCGCAATATCTCAGAAGCTCCTCGATATGTGCCCTTTGGCGAACCGATAGCGAGGCCTCCCAGTCTGAACCTGAAGAAATTGAGATATGCGAACCCGGTGTATGTAACTGGAACGTAACGTGCGCCTGTACAAATCCACCACAGAGCCACTTTGGCGACCGAATCAGCAGACATGAAGCCGCGTCCCATTCTTGAAGTAAACGCTGCCGGAACTATGTGTCGATAATTGAAGAACTCGTCTCCATAGTATATTTGGGCGTGCGGTACGAATGCGCGTTTCGATTGTGTGTAGCCCTCCATGTCTTTCGTCCATGCCCCATGAAATTCGGCCTCGCTACCAATGTACCAAACTTCTGGCAGTAATCCAAGTTTTCGCCGCTCGCAAAATTTCTTAAACAGTTCTATGATAGCAACATGGGACTCGCAATTTGCCTTGTGGGCATTGTCGTCGTTCTTGGATCCATGGGCGAGAATGAGTATATCGGTGTTTGCAAGGATAGACTCAAAGTAGGAATAGTCGCCGTACGTCCAGTCGACTCCAAATCTGGGGGTATGAATGCATCGAACACCTTGAAGGTGAAGCTGCTTCGTTAGGGCCTGGCCGAGGGCTCCCCTGGACCCCGTCATGGTTACGCGCCGGCCCCTGAGTGAGACCCCGGTACCGAGGAACCAGTCGAGCAGGCGCACCATTGACCCAAAGTAGGCAAGAGGTTCGATGTGGTGAAGGGCATGGTACTCAGGCCCAACAAAGAAGGTGGAAGGGTCTTTCGGAAGCCGCGGGTAAGGAATATGGTTTGAATCGTTCCCAGAGTTCCATGCCACTACGGCTGCTCTACCAGCTTGGACTGAGAGTATGATGATCAGGTCATGGAACTGGGAAAGTGAAGCCTTGCGCACGAACAAAGGGCCGAGAAGCCAGCTCATTGTGCTGCCAATCATCTGACACGACACCTCAAGTGATAGATGCCAGACAATATTTCGATGACGGAATCGCTCGTTGAATCTCAGATTACGGTCAAAGTATTGATGGTGGATTGAGTGAGCCTTGGCAAGTAGTCGTAGTATTCGGAAGCGAGATCTGTAGGACCGGTGGGCAATCCAGTGTATGATATCAAAGAAGATGGATCCAAAGACGAAGTGAAGAAGGCAAAGCGTTATCCGCAGTGGCAGGTCGGAGCCTAAATGCGAGCTTTCGAGATTGAGTGAGAACATGATAACGTCTTAAGAGATCGACACTGAGATTGATTGTATTGTGGCATTGATGAATCTGGCTGATATATGGTGGGATGCTTCCATGGATTTATACCTTGTTTTCATTATTGCTCGAGGACTCCTGACTGCTGCTCCCGAAGCCTCCCTTGGTACGTGGATCACCTCTTGAGTCTTCATCACAACGGGGAGGCAATCTGCTCAATGACTTAGATGCATGCTTTAGGGGTAATTGCCACTTGTGACCAAAGAAAAGTGCGCGAGCTTGGGCAAATGCCAATGGAGATAGACCATATACTCCGCATCACTCCTGTGAGTACCTATCAGTAACCTCTTCATTGGGCTATCAAGCTCCGAAGCTTGCTGGCTATCTCTCAGGTATGGCATCCATGGTGTCTCAGTTCCCTTTTTGGACTACACAGAGGCTGTGCTGCTGGAACTCGCCCACTTTCTCGTATTGCCATTCATGATATTTGCACTTAATTCCATCTTGCTGCGGATAAGTTGTCTGCAGTTGGATTCGGGATGATGATCTTGGGAACTGGGCGTCGCCAAGACGCCGCCGGAAGACGATTCCAGGCACCAGGAAAGTGCATTTGAGCGATGACGCGTCGCATGAATATTGAGATGAACAGGAAGCTATTACCAACTTGTATTGCCAGAACCTTACATAGTGGACATGGCAACCAAAGTTAGTACATCCTCGGAAGCTGGTATTACACGATGAAGCAGGCAGCCAAGCACCCAGACTTCGTTACTTTAAGGTAGAAGAACCCCCAAGTAGTCACTCAATGGGTTCGATCAAATGCCGATTTTCTTAAAATGTAGAGCATCACCGTCATCTCTCCAAGGCTTTCTAGGTCGCTTGTGTGGTCCAGCATGGGGGTGCCCTAGAGTGTCCCAAAGGTAGAAAGGGTCAAAAAGCGCCTTGCACTACCTGCAGCAAAGAGCATCCTACCCAGTAAACGGCTACATATGGCTAACCTTGACTCAGGGGATCCATAAGATAAGATCCTGCGTTTTCAAGCTGCATGGAGCGAACATTGATACTCGGCGGACTTTTCACAACCCACAACATAACCTCACCCGCATTCAGGGGTCTAAGCGCATTGCCCGAGTGATGTCCACGAACATGCCTTCGGTCCATTGTTAACATTGCATCTTGTCTTTGAAAGGCAAGTAATAGAGGTAAAGAACTTTGAGTCCTGGATTACATGTATCATTCTCGGAGGCAGCCAGCTCAACATAGGGGTATCCCGTTTCGATGCTAGAGTGAAAATTTCGGTAATGCTGCTGCCTAACCGTCGTAGATGGCCGTGCCGCAACCAAAGGAATTCTAGGTCCACCTACTCCACCATCAACAGCTAGCTGAGGCCGAGATATTCAGCTTGTAGCCGGTATGTAGAGAAAAATTATCTGTCGAGACGTACTGAATAAGAAGTGTAGGCGTACCGGTAGGTTATTAAAGGCCCTCCCTCTAAGCCTCACCAACTCATGGGCTCGATTGCTACTAAGCGTCGTATGAAAACATGGTTCCGTATCACTCTAATACTCACGACTAGCAAGTAAGAAACTTGGACTGGGAATACTTGGTAGCTCTATCCTCAAGTCTGAGTCGATGGCGTACCCCTGGCCCTTTGCTCCCATGGTTCCAACTCAATAACTTACAAGACCCGCTCATCTCAGCGGAGCTTTTCGACGAGCAATCATTTCATATCTGGGTCTGAAGTAAGATGTATCGCCCACGACGACGAAGACTCCGGTGCAACCAGGCCATTCGACGAAAAGCACACACATGAGTAAAGTAGACGAGTGAGATACTCATGGCCAAGTTTGCGGAAGCAGGCGCAGAGCCACCCACAGCAGCTGTGGGTGTGTATATCATTGCCGTAGCAGGAGCAGAGGCACGAACCATACGTGTGAAGGACGCAGTCGCGCATCACGAGAAACATCTAGTCATGCGCGGGTCCAAAATTGCGACGAGCAAATACATGAGAGTACATAACTGAGGCTATGAGGGGCTCGGAAACTACAGATCAACGCCCAGGTCTACTTATAGTCTGTGTTGGTCGATCCAAAACGCATTCATCGATATGGAGCATGATTCTTAGAACACTGAAAGCTTAAACATAGAGGTCCTTGGATGGAGGGTTTTGTGGCCTAGGTAACTGAGGCTGTTGGTCGGTGGTCCGAAGAATGTCAGCAAATTAACAGCGGAGACAGGATAGGAGAACTGCTGCCTAAACGAGGTGAGGGGTATGGAGGGGTATGGAGGGGTATGGAAGTGTGAGGCTCCGTGTCGTTAAGCTTCGACAACATCTGAGCCTAATCAATTCCAAGCACGTAAGTTCCGTCGGCATTTCTTATGACCATTTCAAGTCTTCTTCTCAGAAGCTGTACAGTAGGAAGTTCTGAAGAACGTTAGGTCTTCTTCCGGGGCTGTAGTTGAGCCCGAAGCCAGCTAAAAACTTGGATATCCTTGCTTACCTTACTATGGGTAGTGGCTGACCCGGCTTTACAAGTTACAACGCCACCTTCGAATTGATAGATTCGGTACAAGGGCCTACTTTCCCCCGATTCAAGTCTGTCTAGTTCAGAAATGGCGGCGTTGACTGGCATGCAGCCGTTGTGCGCCCGTTGCCAAACCATCACTTTACCCTCGG